GCGCTTGCATAAATGTATTTTGATTAGTTCGCAAATAGTTGGCATTTTTAGTAAGCGCACAAAATTGTAATGCAATTTATTACATAATCAATTGATTGAGTATATTTCGTTGATAAAGTGAGTGATTTTGTGATTTTTGATAAATTTTTTTTTTTTAATTTCTCAAAATTCTCGAATTTTACCATTGCTGCTTTCTATGGTTATGTAATTTAATTTYTGCAATTCAAGGAATGCTGTCGATACATGTCAAGGGAATTAAACTAAAAATCTCGCCAYGGAAATTCTAAATCGAGCGCTCACCTTGACGGCCTTGCCCTTCCTTGTTGCAACGAAAGTTTTGTGGCAGCCATAAATTTCGCATTCTGCGTTTACCTTGAAGACATTAATTGCTAACGCTGTCCTGCATTCATCTTTAGCCACGGTATCACTCTAAGCAGGGGTATACCGTTACAAGTATGAATCTGTTCACAGCTTTGTTGCAACATGTTAATGTGCTGTTACCGGAATACGCATGCGGGGCGGAAGTGACAACATTTCGGTGGCATAGTTTATGGTCTACTTTGCATGCGATGCGCAGCAAAAGCGCTAGACGCCAACAACAACAACAGCCGAGTACATTATGTGGCATGRTTATTGTGAATGTCACATGCTGCTTTGCGGATTTTAAGCAAGTGGGGAGTACTATTTTAAACAACAACCACGCTAGCGTAACAACAACRTCACAGCGTCAACAACACCAACAACAACAGTTCGGCTTGTAAGCTTAACTCGCCATTGCGACTGCGATTTATTGCATGCGCCGCAAATGACAGCGGCAAGCTCACACACACACACACAGTTTTGTGCGCCGYTCGGGCTGTTTAACTGTAGTCTTTTGTATGGCATTAAATCAGTTTGGGCACCTTTAGTGCCTTCAAGTAGCTTCAAATTGATTGCTTTGTTTTGTAGTCGCAGTTTTCGCTGAAGCCGAGCGCTTTAGTCTCGGATGGTCGATTTTGTGATCACGAAGGTTAAAGYGATATATTRGTTTTGARCTTGCCACATTTTT